GAATGGCACATTTTTTCTTAAGGTGGGCCTTTAGCCCCGTTGTACCCTATATATATATATCATTATTGTGTATTGAACATTAATGGAGCAACAGATTTTGTGTGAAAATAAATCATTCAAGTTGTTTATTTTGTTTAAAAATCGTATAAATGTATGAGGTGGCAAGAGGGGCCTTTTACCCCACACACGGCTCACCAGCATGGGGTAAAAGGCACACGGTATTTATACAAATACTTCAGCTAAAATAATGTGGTTTTTTTAATAATGTATAAGTTAATACTTGTTCAAAACAATCACTTTAGCAAAGTTTGTACTATTTTCTGGTTATTTTGAAAAATAAAAGTTTTTTTTCCCCCCAATAAATATGCTGTCATTAAAATGTTATAAAAAATATAAAAAATATGTTTTAAAATACAGAAACAAAATCGTTTTAATAAGTAAAGATTCTGAAAGTATTCAAGGAGATCCAATAATAATTGAATATATATTTACAGTAGTAACAACAAATGATATTTTATTATATGATATGATTAATATCATGTTTTTGATGGTTTCATTCTAAACATGGTGATCATCTTTAATATGGACACCCAACATAATATATGATATTTACCATCTGAATCTAATCACGTCATGTCAACAAATGGAAAAGTCAGCCATCTATTAACTATCATGTTAATTACTGTGTGCCTTTAGCCCCAACAGCAGGGGTGCTTTTTACCCCAAATACCATACTTTTACATATTCTTTCGTTATTGCTTTAATTATCTTAAACAAAACTGAAAATCATAAAGAAGACCTTTGTCTCAAAATATATGCATTAATTTTAGTGATTCTCATTTGCTACTTAAAGGGATAGTTCACCCAAAAATGAAAATTCTGTCATCATTTACTCACCCTCATGTCGTTCCAAACCTGTATGAGTTGCTTTCTTATGTTGAACATAAAAGAAGATATTTTTAAGATTGCTGGTAATCAAACAGTTGGTGGTTGCCATTGACTTCCATAGTAGGAAAAAAAAAATACAATGGAAGTCAATGGAAACCACCAACTGCATTATGTAAAAACAACCAAGATGGCAGCAACTAAAGCTACTTTGTTGGCAACCTCTGTTTGATATGACATTTTATGGCCAGTCTATTTGCAAGAAGTGAATTAAGGTAGTATTTTTCGGTCATTACCATAAAAGCTGCACTTGGATCCATTTTGGCATTACAAGTGTTGCTATAGCAACAACTCATTTTTGTGTCTGTGAACAGTACTAGAATCTCAGAGTTGTCATTTTGTAATTGCGGTAATTCCGACACAACATGAACGCAGCATGAACCTTTGACACTTAGCCATTCCTGATTTTTTTTTTCTTTCTTGCTGTTATCATATTACTTTTGAAACACCTGAATAAGCAGTGAAATAATGATTTAGATCAGTGGTTCCCAACCCTGGTCCTGGAGGCACCCCAACAATAAAAATACAATTGCTCATTGTCGGTTAATAGTAATGGTGCATCAACAAATGTAAACAGATAAAACAAGATCAATAAATTCTGTTGGAGAATTAGTTTATGTTAGTTCATGTTTACTAACCTTACACTGATAAAATGGTGTAGTAATGAAATGATTTGCACTCAAATTGCTAGTAAATTTCATACATAATTGCAAAGAAATGGCAAGTAACACACTGAATGAAGAATTTTTGAAGCATCAAAAGCTGATATAGTATTTTCTTGTAAAGTATACTCAATATTCTTTATGTAAAACTTTAAAAAAAATCTTTTTAGAGCATAATATGAAATGAAAACAATGTAAAGTATAACCACAAATTTTAAAGGCATTTTTAAATTCAGTTCTGAGTGGCGCACAAACCAAATGGTATTACCACTTTACCATGATACCGTTACAGTACTTTTTTGTAAAGGCTCTGCTGTGTCAGTAATGGAAAAGATTATATTTCTTTATATGCTCAACTAAATGTAGTTCATACATACAAGTGGATCAACATCAAACGTACCTTGCTGGAGCTGAGATGTAGAGTATCATTGTATAAAGCTCCAGTTTCCCAGTTCTTCACTTTCATGAATCTGGGACATTTGGTGGGACTTCCATTCTGCACAGTCTTAGTGGGGGAAACTCTCCCATGGGACGGCGGCTGTGGAGGAACAAACATTACACCTTATTATTAGCAACTTGCCTCTAATTTGTCTGTTAGGAAACACTTTTATCCAAAATGACTCCCTGTACACTAATAACAAGAACAATACTCACAACAAATTCCAAGAAAACATTAAGAGAACATTTTGGTTATCAACACAAACAATTAACCTCTTAAAAATAAAGGCTCCAAAGGGGTTTTTCGCAGTAATTACATAAGAACCATTTTTGGTTACCCAAAAGAACCTTTTCTAGTTTCTAAGAATCCCCAAGAATCTGTGTGAAGATAAATTATATTTGACAGCAATGAACATTCTTTGCAAAGTTCTTCATTCTTATGTAGCTATTTTCACAACCAGCAGGTAAAGGAATGAAATCATCTACTCAAAAGGCGTCAATGGGATAATCAGCGCTATTAAGCTAAATTCTAATTGAGCTTTGATTTTTCAGAGAGAATAGAATACTCATATTGACTTGCCATTCAAAAGATGACTGTAATTTGCTACATGTACAAATGTATGATTAATCGCTGCCCAGCACTAATATGAATATATTAATCAATATTACAGTGCAAGCGGGAATTGTTGGATAAAAGCATCTGTCAAATGAAAACTTAAAGGGATAGTTCACTCAAAAATGAAAATTAGCCCATGATCTACTCACCCTCAGGGCATCCTAGGCATATCTGACATTCCTCTTTCAGATGAACACAATCACAGTAATATTTAAAATTGTCCTGGCTCTGTATAAGCTGTATAATGGCAGTGAATGGTGCCCCTGTTTTTAAAGCCTAAAAAACTGTATCCATCTATCATAAAACTACTCCACACGGCTCCGGGGTGTTAATAAAGGCCTTCTGAAGTGAAATATAGATTTTTTAAAAATGTATAAACTGTAATCTTCAACTTCCGGTCGCTCAAGCAGGCACGTTCACGACAAGGCGTTCGAGAGTATGACGTAGGCGTAGCGGAAGGCGCAACATAAGCTCCGGTGAGAAGAGTGTAGTCTCGCGAGAACCAAGTTTTGTTTACAGCACAGGGAAACCATGTGAACTACATCTGTAGTTTGTGCCGCCACCGCTGCAGCCTCCTCCACCTCGCGGAGTTCCTGGTCGGTATACTCAGATTCAAACAAATATGGCTGGGCAAAAAACTTATTCTCCTCTTGCCTTATATCGAAATCCTCCGACATTTTTTCACTCAGAATCTTCGTTTTGCAGAACTAGTTAGTGGCAGGTGTTTTGTCTTGCTTTCTCCTCTGGGCTTCCACGTTCGTCACTCTTAATAAGAATAATTAAGTAATTAAGTCGTAATTACTGTGATTTCGAGATGACAACACGTGACGTTCTACTTGGAGCTGTTCACACCCTTGGATTCGGACTCGGAACTATCGCACTATCAATGCCTAATCATAGCGGATAATGAATCAGAGGTGGTCAGGTGGTACAAGTTGTAGCTCTCAGAAAACTCCCAGTTAACAAGTTGTAATTACGAGTTCTAAGAGGCCGTGAACGCTTTTTACAAGTTGGTATCTCGTAATCACGGTAATTACTACACCGGAGCTTACATTGCGCCTTCAGCTACGCCTACGTCATATGCTCGAACGCCTTGTCGTGAACACGCCTGCTTGAGCTACCAGAGCTGGAGATTACAGTTAATAAATATTTAAAAATCTGTATTTTTCTTACACTAACGCATCGTTTCGCTTCAGAAGGCCTTTATTAACACCCCAGAGCCGTGTGGAGTAGTTTTATGATGGATGGATGCCGTTTTTTAGGCTTCAAAAACAGGGGCACCATTCACTGCCATTATACAGCTTATACAGAGCCAGGACAATTTTAAATATAACTGTGATTGTGTTCGTCTGAAAGAGGAATGTCAGATTCGCCTAGGATGCCCTAAAGGTGAGTAGATCATGGGCTAATTTTCATTTTTGGGTGAACTATCCCTTTAAGCTTAGTAAGTAAATTCATTTTTAGATGATCAAGTGTCATGATAAATAATAACAGAATGTTATGTTATGGGTGCTGTGCAGTGATAGACACAATAGCTAATGGTGAATATGCATTTAGCGTCATAATTATTAAATCACATATTTTTGAACTACTGGAATGCTGTATTGACATTAGCATGTAGATGGTAAAATAGTATTGCTTTGTTTAATGATGTTAGCAGCTCATATGTCCGACTGTTTCGCACCACTTTCACTGTGTGAGCGAGACTTATTAGAGCTTAAATTATGCAGGGCGCTGCTGTTAGCCTTGGAAAACTCAGCAGATTTCTAAAAAAACTCAACCCCATCAGGCAGACTGAAAGGTTATTATCATCTCAAACATTTCAAACCATCGCACCTGTGTTGCTTTACTGGGTTTGCTATCACTAAAGCATGAATTATCTCTCGTGTCAGCAAGTCTAGTTTTCCAAAGCATGGAAAAGCAAGCTGTTCCATTTACAGCTCGACATAGAAATATAAAACTAGTTTAACATTGTCTACAGAAAGCTATTGAACACTCACTTATTATAATCTCAGCAAGAATATTCTGTGTATATTACAGCATGTTGAAAATATTCTGGGCATGCTCCAGCAAATTCGTTAACCACCAATGTGTGTTAGTGAGAATATGCTAAAAGTGCTAAAATGTCAACATTTACTTCTGTTATAACGTGTTATTATAGAGCAGCCAAGGTCTCAAACTGTCAGACTGAAGTGGAGATTTGAAGGTGCAAGGGAATGTGTTATTTCCCCTTAGCCTTTGCAGATAATGTCATATCTGGCTGGCCATTTAAGGTCAGTGTGACTGAAATAACACTTACACATTTAAATGTGCATCATAGTATGTTATTATAGTATGTATAAGTGCCTGGGTGGTACACAATGTCCAATTCGTGGGATTTTTGGTAGTGTGTATCCGTGTGTGTTTCTTTTTTAGATATAGTGCATTAGTGCTCACCCACAATGCAGCAGCAAAGTATTTTTCCATTACTTTTTCGTAATTATTTTTAAAAAGTCTTATTTTAAAGTGTTAAAAGCCATGAACCAAGCCAATCAACTATGAGGTGAATCTAGGGTGACCACACATCCTGGTTTTTCCCAGACATGCCCTGACCAGGATTCCTAAATTGCCTAATATGACTGGGTTTTGGCTTTGTTTTCCTATTGTTTTCATACTTACTGAAGGTTGATTATGAAGGTATTTTTGGTGCAAAACAACTGAGTGACCGTGACAGCGGAATTTGTAGTTGTAGAGAATAGCCACACATGTGTATCAGTAAATCTGAAGTCACAGACAAAAGTTGCAAACTTGTAGATATTTTTTTCTCTCCCACAAACACAACACAACAGTTACACGTTCTTGAATCCTTCACTGCAGGTGCACAAATCCTAGTCTACGAATCACAAATCAAGAAACTCGTACGCTCACAAGTTTTGCTACTATTGCTGCAGTGAATATGGTGCAAAACACATTCACACACCTGCATCAAAAATGTGAA